CTTTAAGTTTTGGATGTTTCATTTAAGATATAATTATTTTGATTCAATTTCATTTAAATAACAAATGAAAAAATGAGGATCTAATTATTCTGATGTCTAAGAAAAGTAACAGTTTGGCAACTCTAAAGATTGACCTTTACCAAAATCATATACAGAAAACTTTTCTTTACAAAGATATATGAATGAAAAACTAACTTTTCTTCCTAATGACTTAATTTTTGTACATAAATTCTACAAATATTCATATTTATTTCAATAAAAAATTTAAAGCCTTGAATATGCCTAGCAGAAATAGCATTTTATTACAATATGAAATAACCAGTTTCAAACTGAATTATGCAAAAATTGGCAACAACAATAGGTACAGTCTACAGAAAAACTTTTGTCTCAAATAAAAAAATGGGTATACATTAAGGTAAAATAGCACAGCTTTATAACAGTGATATGTGTGTGATGTAAAGTCAAAGCCAATTAACCAGTAGGCATAAAAATAAAACTTAACACTTGATTTGTTATTAAAATACAGAATAAAAGTATGAAATAAATTAAAAGATAACCAAACAAACAAAGGATAGGATAATGTAACAATATTATACAAGTTATTCAGAACAGACTTAATTGTAGTGAAGTTGTGTTATTATTTAAAGTTGGGAGTTCATTTATAATAGATAAACTTTCTTTAATTAAAAGTTCAATATTGGATGAATCAGATGAGATGACTTTGAAATTCCTAATCAAGATGGGGTAGTTGTTGTTTTAGATAAGCAAAGTTTCATAATGAAATCACAAATTTTAAGAATAATTAAAACATATTATCCACAAGTTCAACTACAAATGATATTTAAATCACCTTTCAAAAATACAAAATCTAGTCAGATCTAAAGACCTATTACCTACCCATATACATTTCATAATCGTGTATAAATACACGTGACGACTGTAATGCCACTTACATTAGTAAAACTATACGCCAATTACACCTGCGAGCCTGCAAACATATGGGAGTATGGAGCAGAACTGGTAAAAACTATCAAATCCACCAGACTCCACAATTCGCACACATAGTTAAAACACCAACTACCTCGTCTTGATTACGAATTTCAAAGTCATCTCATCTAGATCATCCAATATTAAACTTTTAATTAAAGAAAGTTCATCTACTATAAATGAACTCCCAACTTTAAATAATAACACAACTTCACTACAATTAAGACTGTTCTAAATAACTTGTATAATATTGTTACATTATTCTATTCTGTTTATTTGGTTGTCTTTGAATTTATTTCATCCTTTTATTCTGTATTTTAGTTACTTTTTATAAAATGTTTAAACTTTATAAGTAACTGATTTATGATTTGCTGTTGGTAATTTTATTAAATTGCTTCTATATACATAAACATTAAGAGAATACAAACAGAAAGCTGAAAAAAGAATTTCTCTTTGATCTTCTAATCAAACACATAACATTCAATAAAATTCATCAGATACTTTAAATAATTAATAGCATTTCTATTGTAAGTGCCTATAAACTGTGATTGCATATTTTTTCACCAAACTGACTAACTAGGGGAAGAGCCATTGAAATGACCTATCAATCTAACATTGAATGGGTGCACACGTTTAAAGAAATAACAGAGGATAAAAACATTTTATGACTTTAAACATTGACACTAATTTTCCTTATCTCTTAACTGAAAACTTAGTTTCTCATTCTCACAAACGGTTCAATTATCTTATTAATATTTATCATGCAATCAATCTGAATAGTCACATTTCAGTTTTAAAATTTATTATGGTTAAAAACATCACAAAAAAACTTTAAAATTAACCAACTGAAATCCAGTTTTTAAATGTAATTATAATAAATACACATTATTTGTTATTACAACACTTACCTAATAGAGAATGTTGGTTCTGCATAAAAGCCCCAGGAAGTGGACGTGGAACAGAAGAAGGTACAAACTGGCCATAGTTTAAAGTAGGGTTAGGAGGTGGAACAGTCGCATATTGTCCCTGACCAACATGTCTACTTCTATCCATGTTATGGCTAACAAAAATAAATAAATAAAAATCAGAATAAACCAAAACTGGCCATAGTTTAAAGTAGGGTTAGGAGGTGGAACAGTCGCATATTGTCCCTGACCAACATGTCTACTTCTATCCATGCTATGGCTAACAAAAATAAATAAATAAAAATCAGAATAAACCAAAAATTATGTAAAACAGATATTTTATAATAATTAAATTTACAAGTCAAATGCAAATGTATTGTGACAGATATGAAGTTTGATAATTTTAATATCAAACAGAAACTATTTCTCACAAAACAAAGCATGAATTTATACGAGCACAAAATTGATACTTTCTGTACTGCAATTTTTGGAATATTTTAAATCTAAAATCTAATATGAAGAGTAGTAATTGTTTTATGCTCGTCTAATATGTAATTTTTTCCATACCTTAGCATTCTCTTGCCACTTAAGTCCAAAGATGCCCTCTGACGAGCAGGTGCCATACCAATTTGCGGTCGCCAACGGCGATTATCCTCTTGACTTAAATCTCCAGGCTTGAGAACACGCGGAGGGTCCCTATGAAGCATTGAAACATTAAGTAAAACAAAGTACATTTGTAATAACTTGGAAATGCTGAGAACATCATGTAATACATTTTCTTTTATTGAACCAAAAACAAATGTTCTAAAAGTATCAGAACAGACTACTTGTTTCAACACACACATAGTTATATATATACTAATAGCATCATTATATGATACCTTAAATCACCAACAAATATATTAATAATACACAAATCTTGAAGCTTTGGTATATTTCATACTTTCTAAATGCAATTCAACAGTTTTGTTTTTTCAATATATACCAGAGAAAATGTCTAACCAGCACATTTCAAATCAATTATAAGCTAAGTTACCACTTGCAGACCAATGGAAATCCAGAGAAACAATGAATCATACTTTTTATCCAATGCAATTTAGTTTCCAGTGTTTTGAATCTACATATCTTACTTAGATTTCAATTTACTGTTTACACATGTAGTACAAATGATCATTTTTTTTATTTTTACCCAAAATATGCTATTTTATATACACCAACAATATTTAAGTTGGGCTTAAGTATATACATTTTTTAAATCAAAGCTGTACTCTTTTTTTTTTTTGGAATGAATGCTAAAGTTGTATTTATAACTCCAGTTTGTACAATATAGACATTTCAGGTTTTGGAAAGAATGACTAAAATAAAAAAAAAACCTATACAAATCTCCACACTTAAAAGAAACATTGAACAAATTTTCAAGCTATGACACCCAAATAAAAAATAAAATGTACAATTTGATCCAGAAGCTGCTTGTAACTTCACTTCTAATCACAATTTAGCTCTTGGAGATACAGAAACTTTTTAGCCTTAACTTTTTACCGGGTTGCTGGTTATTAAACATAAAGTTCAGTTTATAAAAGATTTCTCAATTGTACGTAATGAAAAATTTTGCAAGAAGACTTACTTAGCACCCTTGAGTCTGCGAGCAGGAAAAATGAAGTCATCAGGATAAGAAGGATCCCTGAATCTAATACTAAATATTACAGAATGACATGCATTAGTTTAAAAAGATTATAAAAAAACCTTTAACTGAGTACCAAAAAATAAGAAATATACATTTTCAGAAGTGTAGTTCCATATTCATATTTTCACATCTTGTAACTGACTCTACTACATTATTGAGTATGTGATAAGATCATTGATACATGATGAGTTGGAAGGCTGAATGAATGACAAAAATGTTAATTCATGAAACTAAAGACTCAGAAGTAGATAAAACTATATGTTTCATAAAAATATATACTGTAAAATTAATGCATAAATAAAGCATAATTACTGAGAATTTGTTTGAATTCAAATTAACTGTGCTGAGTGTAGCAGGCTAAATACTTGGGGACAGAGAATCATTTTTAAAGGTATGTAAAAATTAGCCATTTTGAATTACCTGATTTTTAATAAATGTTTACCTATCTTACCTTCAATCTTTGTTTTCTATGTTCACATAGATTTAAATTTAAATTCATCTACCTATACTCTTAAAATAACTGACGAAGTAGAGATTAGTCAGTAAATAGTAAAACCCCATTAACTGTTCTTGTTTACCAAGCACTGACAACAAAATTAGGAGTGGGGAACCATGCAATGTTTAATAAATAAATGATTTGACAACAAAAATAACTGATTATCCTTTTTTGAATTCTTAATAAAAGTGCATTTGTATTCCTAATATATTTCCCATTTCTACATGCAATAAATTACTTTATATATGAATACACTTGGGAATAAACTATTTTACCGTGTTTACCTCAACCAGTCAGACACTGAAACATTTTACAATCCTTGATGAAGGGTACATGATATTTTGGAAAAATATTTACATTAGAGATATGGCCAGACAGTAGTCTTTTTAATGTTGAATTTTAAAAACTGAAAGGCCATTTACTTTAGATTGAACTTTACAGTTTTTAACGTTTTGTATGAATATCAATTTCATCAAGCATGAAAACACGACGTTTTAGAAATTTCCATTATGTTAAAACCTGTTTGCAGTTTAACTGCAGTGGTTATATTACTTCAGTAACAAACCCAAAAAGTTCATATACTGTTTCTTGTTTTTCTATTCTCTCTTTTTCTTTACTTTTCTTTCTTCTTCTCTTTTTTCCTTCCTTATTTTTATCCCTTTTCATGACCCCAAAATATCTCCCAAATTTGTAAAATTAAATTATTTTATCAGCACCTTTTGAACATTCACTATAAATGAGAGGGAATTCTCAATTTTCACAGTACTTGAAATTATTTTAGGCAGTATTAGAGTAGACTAGTCTATGAGACCTTGGGCATGGTGAAATACATCAGTCGAAAGGGTTTGACTTCCTGAGTTGAAAACTGTAATTAAATCTCAAATCGGTCAAGAGTTGATGGAGCTACATGCTAAAAGTTTGTACTTGAAAAAAAACTCGGAGCCATTCTATGAGGCACTATGCCACGGCTCAAAATATTTAGCCCTATATGTGTGAACAAAACAAAAGCTTATCTTTCTATATTAAATAACTTTACGTCACTGTAGATGGTACCATTAGTTTTGGTCAAGATAAAAAAATACAAGAAAGGCTAACACCAACACTGACTTACCACACTGCTTGATTATTTCGAACTTCCTCCTGGCCAGCAATAACAGAGCGAACAGTTCTGAAAATTAAAAGTATTTGTTAATGTTAAAGTCTAGCATTTTTACAGGCACTCTTAAAACACAATCATATAAAATCAATTCAGAAGACAGTACAATTATTACATTTGTTGTTACCATACAAATCTTTACATATATTTAAGAAAAAAATCTTTAACATTTTATATACAGCTTGGTGTGAGTCAAACAGATCTTTGCAAAAAAAAAAAAGGTTTAAAGAAAGATTATAGTTGACTTTTGTATAAATGGCTGACTACAAAATGTGAAGAGTATGAAAGATCAAAGGTTCAATTTGGGTAAAGAAAAAAGTAAATAACTGTGTGAGAAATAAGAAATCAAATTAAAATTAACACAATACTTACTCGCCAGGTCCAACTGCAGAGTCTGATAAAAGAACAGTTCCCTTCATTCCATTAAACAAGATGGGATTAATTTCAAACTCCTAAAACAATAATAAAGAGAAAAATATATTCACTTTCTTATAAAACCACGATGTAAGTTCAAGATAAAAAGTTGTTATTAAAGTTAAAAAACACAAACACTGAAACACAAACATAAAAAATAATTTCACCACAGTTAATGTATGTATTTAAACTATCTAAAGGATAGGTGAGGAACAGAGAAATTCAACTGTTATGGGACCGAGTCCATAAAAACTTAAGGAACAAAGCAAATAATAAACATCCACAACAGACTAGGTAGATATATAGTGAATAAGAAATTGAAACACAAGTTTTGGAATATGCAGTATTAATAAATGATACATTATGCCATGCCCCTGGGCATCATTATACCCCAAGGTATCTCATAAACTTGTACACTGTATGACTTGGAGTGTGTTGTAGTTTTTACAGAGCACTGGGGTATTAATAATCACCAAATCTGGGGCACCTGAGAGAAAATTCTTGGTAATCAGAAGTTATAATTTTCCTATACTAAAAATGTATTTCTGATAGGTACTTCCCTCTGCTTACAGGATTAGCTATTCTCGTTCATTGCTGCCTCCTATGTGCAAACTTTTTATTTACACATGCCACAAGCCTTCTGCTCCCCCCATATAGGAATCAAGTGATTCCAATGTGTCTCTCATGTAAATCATTGTGCATCACCTCTCCACTAATAGGAGCATAGCACACTCACGTTACTCCCTCTATGTGCATCACCTCTCCACTAATAGGAGCATAGCACACTCACGTTACTCCCTCTATGTGCCTCTACCAAACTATCACTTCAAAATTTGGCAGAAAACGGAAGCTCCGGAAGTGTGTGGGGAGAATTGTTTGTTATGAATTTCATGCAAAGTGACACAAGGGCTATCTGCACTAGCCGTTTCTAATTTAGCAGTGTAGGACTAGAGGGAAAGCAGCTAGTCATCATCACCCACTGCCAACTCTTGGGCTACTTTTTTTACCAACGAATAGTGGGATTGACCATCATATTATAATACCCCCATGGCTGAAAGGGCAAGCATGTTTGGTATTCAAACTCACAACCCACAGATTGCAAGTTGAGCACCCTAATCATCTGGCCATGTTGGGCTAGTGTGAGTGGAGGGAAGTACCTATCGAAAATACATTTTCAGTATAGGAAAATTATAACTTCCGATATGGTACTTCCCTCTTCTCACAAGATTAGCTAGAATCATACACTGATTAGGAGGAAATATCGATGCAAGGGAAGAACAGACGTACCCCCCGAATGAGCCCAAAGGATACCTCCATAGATGAGAGAGCCAGATTTGAAGAGGGGAACTGCACCACTTCTAAGTCAGGTATACTATTTGCCCATGTGTGGAATGTGTAATATATCAGAGCAGAAAATGAAAGGAGCACATCCGAGTGAGAGAGAATGTGGTAGGAAAATGATCCTAACCAGAGAAAGATATTGTAACTCAATCTCACAATGAGAAAAATGGGTAAACATGGATGCGCCCCTGGATATAAGGTTGCTAGGGCATGGGGGGATCGTATTCAGTAAGTCAACTACATCGAAAACTTCTCATTGGGTACCGACATCTGCGCAAGGATAGGATGAGGACCATACCATCTTTACATCAAACCCTAGAACCGAGGAATTGAGAATCACTCTGATTCACAGGTATGACGCAAGTATTAGCTCTGAGTTATCGATCCGAGGACTGGACATCTGGTATCAAAAGGATGTCTATCACATGCAATCAACTCCCCCAACTGTGAAAACAGGCAGGAACCCTCCAAATGGCAATAACATCCCTGTAAGAAGAGAGAATGAGGGATAGCCAATGACAGAACCAGAACAATCCCACGTACTACCGCTGTGACCCTCAACACAGATGGAGGAAATCGAGGAAGATAGACAACCCAAAACCTGTGTGAGGACTTATGTTGATTGGTTCACTCTAAATCTAACACCAGGCCATGGGGGTATCGACGTGATAGTAGGATGAGAGCTCCCAATCAAAAGGGGTGAACTGCATTTTCGATGGCTCAACTCCAGTGGATGTGTAAACGGTATCAGGTGGCAATGTCATCCAGCAAAATGACGACTCATCTCCTCTGGAGGCCACGTTTCATCTGCATCAGCACAACACCATCGCACTACTCTCGACTGAATGGTTATAGCCATCTTTTTGTGAAACTCATTCAGGAGGGTGCCTCTACAGACAACCACCCCAGCAGCTTGAAACTGGAAAGTGGTAAGGACTCCCACATTCCACTAGAAGAAAGGAAGGTGAATACACAGTGGAGAGTCAGGAGGAACATCAACACCAGAGACAGTGCGATGGGTGACCTGTTGAAAAAATAAAATAAATAAACGTCTGAGTACAAGCACTGCCAAACAAGAAGTGATAGTTTGTTTGAGACACATAGAGGGAGTCACATGCATCACATGAGTGTACTATGTTCCTGTTGGTGGAGAGGTGACGCATGATGATTTACACGAGAGACACGTTGAAATCACTTGATTACAATAGGGGGGAAGTAGAAGGCTTGTGGCATGTGTAAATATAAAGTTTGCATATAGGCTGCAGCAATGAA